CCTCTTCTATCCGCCTCCCACTCTCTCCCTATTTATTTCGGAACCCCTTTCCCCTCCCCCTTTTCTGATGAAGGGTCTAGGCCCGAAACGTCAGCCTCTCTGCTCCTATGATGCTGCTTGGCCTGCTGTGTTCATCCAGCCCTGCACCTTGTTGTCTCGGATTCTCCAGCATCTGCAGTTCCTACTAGCTCTGTCAGCATCTGTGAAGAGAAAAACAGAATTAACGTTTGAGTCCAGGCACCCGTCAGAATTGTACAGAATTCTTAAAAGCGCTTCATCAGGTAGATACTGAGAAAATATTCCTTGGGACTGGAGTATCTTGATCTCGGGGTCAGCACCTCAGAATAAAAGATAGGCCATTTACAACTGAGACAAACTTCACCTGAAGACTTGTGCATATTTGGATCTGCAAGGCCAGAGAGCTGAAGGCACTTAGCTTCAGGTATATTCAAGCCTGGATTAGACCAATTTGCTTTCATAAATTTGTTAACATGTAATTGTGGGGTGATATGCCTTAGTTAAAAGATCAGCTGTGATATTCTTAAATGGCAGAGCAAGCTGGAAGGGCTGAATGGTCTCTTCCACCCTCTATTTGTCAAGTTCTAATACAATTTCTAAATAAGTAAACTAGAAATTTGAGTGGGTTATAATCTGTGAGCAGTGAGTGTAAATACTCAGCAGTGTGAGTGAAATTGCAAACATTCTTGTTCCTGTTTTCTATGTTTCTATGTCCACAAAGCTGGTGGTATATGGACTGGAGAGTTGAACTAATAGATTCTAAAATATTTTGCTCCTTTCTTAATTCATTTAAAGCCTTTATCAAACGTTTGAGATTGAGATCAGAGATTGAAAGTATTGATTCACATTTCTAAGAATTGTATCAGTGATCTGTGGTTCTGATTGAAAATCAGAACAACGGGTACTGCTATAGACAAACATGAAAATAATTAAATTCAATGGCGATGTAAACGAACATAAATTAATTTTCAGTTGTACTTTTTTCCACATAGCAGTTTGCAATAAAGATGTTTTCATTAATCTTATTCTTAAAATCTCTGAACTGATTTCCAAAGGTGATTAAGGAATTGTATTTAACATAAAGGCTTTGTGTAATGTCAGAAAGCAACAAATCTATGCTACAGCTGTGGAGAGATAAAGTAAGTTAGTGTTTTGAGTTTGATATAACTCTTTCTGCGAACTGAAAGGGGCCGGAAAATGATGGTTTTTTTATGCTGTTGGCGGTGAAATGAATGGAATAGATCGTGAAGGTGCTGTGAGCAAAAGATGAAGGGCATGCTCATGGTAAAGGAGTTATAAATGTGCGGAATAGATGTTAAAGGTAGAGAAAAGGTCAGCTCTACTGACGGCAAACACATAAACAAGACACACTTTAGGGTGGGGGTAAAGGAAGGTTTTGAAATTGAAATGGAGGACAGTGTTCATCCCTTGGAGTTGTTGAACTTCATGTTGCGTTTTCAAGGCTGTCAAGTACTTAAGAGGAAAGTGAGGTGCTCTTCCTCCAGCTTGCATTGTGCTTCATTGGAAGATTGCAGCAAGCCCAGGACAGCAATTTGAGAGCAAGGGTGGTATATTGAAATAGCGAGTAGCTGGGAGGTCACTGTCATTCCTACAGACAGGGCAGAGGGATTCTGTGAAGTGGTCATCCAGCCTGTGTTTGATCTTGCCAATGTAAAGGAGACAGCATTGTGAGCAGTGAATAGAGTAAAAGTCACTATAGTCTTACCAGAGCATGGAGCTCCCCTCTCGTTAGAGAGTGACAACTGGTGGTGGTTTAACCTGAGGGTCACCAGGCCTCAGGCAAGGGGAAGAGGTTGAGAAGGAGAGTTTTTTCGTGGTAACCTCAGCCAGTGCAGGAATTGAACTCAAGTTGTTGGAGTCAGTGCATTGCAAACTGACCGTCCAGCCAACTGAACTAATCAACCCCAACAAATACAGTAGACCAGATTTGAAAGAAGTACACAGAAATTGCTGCCTCACCTGGAAGATGTGTTTGGAGCCTTGGACAGAGCGGAGGAACGAGGTGAATGGGCAAGTTTCACATTTTCTTCGATTGCATTGTGGAATGAGGAAGTGGTTAGGGGGTTAACTAATGTCCTTTATGGAAGGAAATCTGTCACCCTTACCTGGTCTAGCCTACATGTGACTCCAGACCCATAGTAATGTAGTTGATATTAACTGCCCTCAGTTAATTAGGGATGGGCAATGAATGCTGACCTAGTCAGCGATGCCTTCATCCCATGAATGAATTTAAAAAATGGATGGAGGAGTGAGCTGTGGTGTCGTGGATGGAGCAGTCCCTGTGGAATACTGGCTGTGGTGGGGGGAGGGGGAAATTGTTTGGTGGTGGTATCCTGCTGAAGGTGATGGCAATGAGTAAGACAATTGTTTGAATGTGGAGTCTATTGGAATGGAGAGTAAAGACAAGGGGAGGAAAAGGGCAGAAATGTGGGAGATGGGTCACACATGGCTGAGGGACCAATCCACTGTGCTGGAGGCAGGTTAGGGTTAAGAGGCCATGTCGGAAGCATCAAGTGGCATCATCTGAACAGATGTCACAGAAACGGAAAGACTGGAAGAATGGAATGGAATCCTTTAAGGGAAGAAGAGTGTGAGGAAGTGTAGTCAAGATAACTATGGCAGTTGGTGAGTTTGCATTGGATATTGGTAGACACTCTGTCTTCAGAAATGGAAACAGTGAAGTCAAGAAAGGGAACATAACAAATAGGAGCAGGAGCAGGAGCAGGCCATGCACCGCATCGTGCCTGCCCAGACATTCTTTAAGATCATAGCTGATCTGCCCCAGGCCTCAATTCCTCTATTTCAATCCTCCGTCAACCTTCTCTTTAAATACTCTTGGTGATTTAGCCTCCACGACTCTCTGGGGTAGAGAATTCCAGACAGTCACTATCTCTAAGAGAAAGATTACCTTTGCATCTCAGTTTTAAATAAGTATCCCCTTATTCTGTAACCATGCCCCCTAGTTCGAGATTCCCCATTAATGGAAACATCTTCTCAACATCTCCCCTGCCAAGCCCCCTCAGAATCTTGTATTTGGAAGGAAGAGACAGAGATGAACCAGTGGCAGGTGAGACGAGGTTGAAAACTGGAAGCAAAACTGATGATTTTTTTCCCAATTCTAGTTGAGAGCAGGAATCAGCATTGATGGCATTATCACTGTGTCGGAGAAAGAATTGTGGGTGGGGCTCAGGGTAGGACTGGGACAAGCAGTATTCCACAACTCCCACAAAGAGAATCTCTCCAACATTCTGTTTTTATTTCAACTCTGAGGCATCTGCGGTACTTTTGTTTTATCTGTTTTGTGTGGGCTTGGCAGCACTGAGTGTGTTGTGCAGCATGTCATCGGGCAATAATTTGAAAGAAAAACATGCTTACATCATAAAATGGTGCCATTTGATACAGTGAACTCAGCTTGCATCCTCTAACCAGGGTTTTATAGAGCTGCAGCATAACCTTGCGGCACTTAAACTCAATTCCCCTGCCAATGAAAGCCAACACACCATATGCTTTCTTATCAGCCTGGGTGGCAACGTTGAGGGATCTATGGACGTGGACCCCAAGTACCCTCTGTTCCTCCACACTGCTGAGAATCCTGCCATTAACCCTGTATTCTGCATTCAAATTCCACCTTCCAAAATGAATCACTTCACATTTTTCTGGGTTGAATTCCATCTGCCACTTCTTTGCCCAGCTCTTCATCCTGTCAATGTCTCGTTGCAACCTACAACAGCCCTTCATGCTGTCCACAACTCCACCAATCTTTCTGTCATTGGCAAACTTACAGCCCACCCTTCCACTTCCTCATCCAAGTCATTTATAAAGATCACAAAGAGCAGGTCCCAGAACAGATCCCTGTGGAACACCACTGGTCACCGAGCTCCAGGCTGAATACTTTCCATCTACTACCACCCTCTGTCTTCTATTGGAGAGCCAGTTTTGTATCCAGACAGCCAAATTTCCCTGAATCCCATGCCTCCTTACTTTCTGAATGAGCCTACCATGGGGAACCTTATCGAATGCCTTGCTAAAATCCATACACGCCACATCCACTGCTCTACCTTCATGGATGTGTTTTGTCACATCCTCAAAGAATTCAATAAGGCTTGTGGGGCATGCCCTGCTCCTCTCAAAGCCATGTTGACTATTGCTAATCAAACTTTTCCAAATAATCATAAATACTATCTCTTGAGAATAAGAGAATATATATATAAATAAATATATATAAATAAATTAAGTAAAATAATAAAAAGAGAATCTTGGAGAAGGAGTCATAGTTTAAAAATAAGGAGTAACCTATTTAAGATTGATGAAGAAAAAGCCTTTCTCTCATAGGATTGAGTCTTTGCAATTCCATATTTTTTTAAAGGCCAAAGTAAATAGAGTTTTGATCACCAAAGGGATGAAAGATCATCAGAGACTTGTGGGAATGTAGAGTTGGAGGTTAAAATCAAATTCAGCTCAAACTCCATTTAAAAATTTGCTGATGACTCCACTGTAGTGGGTCAGATAAAGGGGTGACCAGGTAGTTTGTACCTTTGTACAGGTGCTTATTGATTGAGAAATATTAGCAGGACCAGCAGTTACTCCCTGCTCCTTTTCGCAATCGCACCATGAATGTTTTTGATTCAGCTGAGATGCTCCTTACCCAGGCACCGCTGCCCCTCTGTACTCCTCACTAGAGAGTCACCTCAATTTTTGTGCTTGTGTCGTGGAGTGGGACTTGAACACACAACCGCCCGACTCTGAGACAAGCATTTTACCCATTGAACCATGCCTGGCAACTGCAGGAGCTACGAAAGGTAACACAGTCTGATAACTTGGTAAAGACAAATGCTGATTTTGACATTTTTAAACTTATTTGGTTTGCAACAATCTGCACCTGTATGTGGAAATCAGAAACATCTGTTGTCAGTGTAATTTTTAAAATGTGTCAATTTTAATTTCTACCTGATCTTTGTTCCACACGCACAGATTTGAAACCACACTCTTTGACAGGTCAACTCTGAGGTCTCAATATGAGAAACCAACAGATATTTTTTCATCTTTGGTTCCCACAGGTACAGCAGCCTTGGAAGAAGATGCACAGATACTCAAAGTCATTGAGGCTTATTGCACAAGTGCAAACCTACAGCAGACTCATAGCTCAGGCAAGTGAAATTACAATGAGATTTTGATCATTTAAAGTTCCATACTTAGGTGGTCTAAGATGTTAGGTTTTGGAGTCAGGGTTTCAAGTCAAATATGACTGCTTCAAAACTCAGCTCCTGACTCCTTTTACAGTCTTTGTCCAAATATGGGTGAATTCCAGAGGTGAGGTGAGAGTGACAGCTCTTGTCATCAAGGCCACATTTGACTGAGTGTGGCATCACAGAGCCCTAGGAAAACTGGAATCAGTGGGTATCGAGGACAAACACTCTGCTGGTTGGGGTCATGGCTAGCATGTAGGCAGATGGTTCTGATTGTTGGAGGCAGTGAGAATAGAAAAGCAACATATGATTCAAATAGAGAGTGATTGCAAAATGTGACTATGCAAATGGATCTGGGTGTCCTGATTCACAAGACATAAGATGTTAGTATGCAGGTACAGCAAGTGATCACCAATGCTCCAATTCCCTTTCTGTTTATTGCATGGGGTATGGAAGCTTTGGACTGTGGGAGGAAACCAGAGCACCCGGAGGAAACCCACGCAGACACAGGGAGAATGTGCAAACTCCACACAGACAGTCGCCCGAGGGTGGAATTGAACCCGGGTCCCTGGTGCTGTGAGGCTACAGTCCTAACCACTGAGCCACCGTGCCACCCTAAAGTTTTGGTGTCCTTGCATAGAAACATGGGAGCAGGAAGAGGCCATTTGGCCCTTTGAGCCTGCTCCGCCTTCTTCACAATCATGGATGATCGTCCAACTCGATAGCCTAATCCTGCTTTCTCCCCGTAATTTTTTGATCCCATTCACCCCCAAGTGCTGTATCTAGTCACCTCTTGCATACGTTCAATGTTTTGGCATCAACTTCTTCCTACAGCTACAAAGGTTGGGCATGTATTTATTGGAGTGTAGAAAAATGAGAGGGGATCTTACTGAACATGTACATTTGTGAGGATGCTGGACAGGGCAGATGCTGGAAGGATGTTTCCCTAGGTGGGTGAGATGAGAGATAGTGGGAACAGTTTTAAAATAAGGGCTGGGTGGGCCAAAGGGGATACACGCGCAGTACCCCAAACCTGGCTGTCCAAACTCTGGACATTTTTCTCTCTATCTGCTGTTCAACACTTAGCTGATTGGTTCAAATATGCAGCTGCTTGTTGCTCATCGTTGAGGTCCCGTAGCTTGTTTCTTTTGGTCTGTGCTACAGCTTAGCATTGATAACTCAGACCCGATCCAATGCAGTGCTTTAACACCTACCTACCCTCAGCCTGCAGTATCCTCCAGCACATTTTGCTGTTCCACCAGTAACTAATGGTACGCTTGTCTTTATTGGTCAGTGCATTGAATATAGGAGTTGGGAGGTCAATAAGTGACTGTACAGAACATTGCTTAGGCCACTCCTGGAATACTGCTTGCAATTTTGGTCTCCCTCATACAGGAAGGATGTTGTGAAACTAAAGTGTTCACAAAAGATTTACGAGGATGTTGCCAGAATTGGAGTGTTTGAGCTATAGGGAGATGCTGAATAGGCTGGGGCTATTCTCCCTGGAGCTTTGGAGGCTGAGGGGTGACCTTATAGAAGTTTATAAAGTAATGAGGAGCATGGATAGGGTAAATAGACAAGGTCTTTTTCCTGGGGTGAGGTAGTCCAAAACTAGCAGGCATAGGTTTAAAGTATAAAAGGGACCCGAGGGGCAACTTTTTCAAGCAGTGGGTGGCATGTGTATGGCTGCCAGAGGAAGTGCTGGAGGTTGGTACAATTACATCTTAAAAAGTATCTGGATGGGTATATGAATAGGAAGGGTTTAGGGGAAATGGACCAAATGCTGGCAAATGGGACTAGATTTATATAGGATATCTGGTCAGCATGGCCGGGTTGGACTGAAGGGTCTGTTTCCATGATGCATGTCTCTAAAATAAAGGAGGGAGACTTGAAACTGAAGCAGTGATTTTGGAGAGATGATGAAAGAGACAAAAATTTAAAAATACATTCATTTATTCATTAACCAAGGTAGGTGTTGCTGGGGTGATCTGGCATTTATTGTCCATCCCTAGTTGCCCTTGAGAAGGTGGTGGTGAGCTGCCTACTTGAACTGCTGGAGGATGACCCACAATGCCCTTAGAGTGCGAATTCCAGGACTTTGACCCAGTATCAATGAAGGATTTTCAAGTCAGGATGGTGAGTGGTTTGGGGGGAAACTTGTAGATGGTGGTATTCCTATGTATCTGTTGCCCTTGTCCTTCTAGACGGAAGTGGTTGTGGGTTTGGAAGGTGCTGTCTGAAGATCTTTGGTGAATTTCTGCACTGCATCTTGTAGACAGTACACACTCCTACTGAGTGTCAGTGGTGGAGGGAGTGGATACTTGAGGATGTGACGCCAATAAAGTGAATGCTTTGTCCTGAATGGTGTCAAGCTTCTTGAGTGTTGTTGGGGCTGTACTCATCCAGGCAAGTGGGGAGTTGTGCCTGACTTGTGCCTTGTACCTGGTGGACAAGCTGTGGGGAGTCAGGAGGTGAGTTACTTGCCACAGAATTTTTCTAGCCTCTGACCTGCTCTCGTGTTAATGTGGTGAGTCTAGTTGAGTTTATGGTCAATGGTAACCCTCCAGGATGTTGGTAGTGGGGGATTCAGTGATGGTAACACCATTGAATGTCAAGGGTTGATGATTAGATTCCCTTGTTGGAGATGCTCATTGCTGGATACCTGTCTGAATGTTACTTGTGACTTGTCAGTCCTAGGCTTGATGTTGTACAGATATTGTTACTTTTGGCCATGGACTGAGTTATCGAGGATTTTTTTTTTGCAAGGAAAGAGACCCTTCAGCCTGTGTCCATGCTAGTCACTCATCTGTTCTCATCCCATTTTCCAGCACTTTGCCTGTAGCCTCATATACTATGCCTCGATCAAAGAGGTAGATTTTTAAGGAGCATCTCTTAAGAAGAGAATCAGGGAGATATAGGGAGGAAATTCCAGAGATGAAGCTAAAGCCAGGATGAGCAATGGGGAAGCGATTGCAGTCAATGATGTGTGAGAAGCCAGAATTGGAGAAATGTAGACCTGGAGGAGATTTCAGAGATAGGGAGGGGTGAAGCTGTGGAGGGACTTGAAAACGAGGTTGGGGAGTTGCTAAACTAGGAACCAGCACAGGTCATCAAGTATGGAGTGACAGAGGAATGGTCTTGGTGTGAATCAGAACATGGAGATGGATTTAGGATGAGCTGTAGTTTATGGAGAGTGGAGAAAGAGGCCAACTGAGGGAACATTGGAATAGCTGAGGCTAGAGCTAACAAAGTTATGGCTGAGGATTACAGCAGCAGATGAACTGAAGCGGATCCTGGATTGGCTGTTGTCATTCTGTTGCCCAGTTCCATCTCGACAATCATAAGTACATTGCTCAGGGGAGTGGGGCTAATCACATTGCTATCATGAAGAGTTGACACAGACACAGTGCATTGAAATGTCTCCTTTCATGCTCGAAGTCTGTCAATCTTTTGATTGCAGTTCTTTTCTGCACCAGTTTTCCTCTCTGTCCTTCCACCTACTCTCCCAGAATAAATACAGTGATTCTGTTATTATACCACTGCCTTGGTGTTTGGTACCATTCTCATTCTCCAAGTGACCAGTAAGATGCTGGATTGTGGAAAGCATCAGAACTGACTGCTGTTATATCTTGTGCCTGTCCAGTATCTGTACTTGCTGGAAGGGAAGGCTGAACAGTGGCCAGAACCAGGATTCCTGGCTGATTGCTGAACCCTCTCGCTAACCTGGGAGCTTGAAGCCATTGCTCCAGCCTGTACAACTAAACCAGTTAAAGACAACAAGCCCACCTGCTCCATGTCTGACTAAAACAGATCAACTCAAGCAATTGTTAACCTTCTGTCCTGTACTTCACAGTTTGTCGGAAGGAGTCAGCACCACAGGTACTGCTCCCGGAAGAAGAGAAAATAATTGTGGAGGAAACAAAGAGCAATGGGCAAACTGTCATAGAGGAGAAGTAAGAGACCTTTATGTTCGTAATCACCATTCATTTCTATGAGTTTCCCATTAACTGTAGTTTTGTTAAAGTGTGTGAACTGTAACCACAGAGTGGGTCAAGAGAGTGACAGGGAATTGGTCTTTATCATTTCACAACGTTGATCGAGCTTGCAGGGAGCAGGGTCCTGTCTTACTGATTTTAACTCTAGGAGGTAGAGAAGGGGAGACAGAAAGATTTGTGCGTTCTAAAATTTGACAATGTCAGCTCAGGTTTTGATTTTAAAGCTGGCAGAACAAGACTGATGTCTGTAGAAAGGAAAAGCTCTTAAATGTATTATCTTTAACACAGCAAAAACATTTCCAAGTTGTTGAACAGGTACGATTATCAAACCAAGTTTGACGCTAAACCACACGCACAGTGGGTCAGAGAAATGGGAGCAGAGGGAAGCAGAGAGGTTTTGGGGAGGAAATACAAAGATGAGGTAAGTTACAGATGAACAAGAAACCCTAATGTTTAGAGGGGTGCAGAAATCACAGGGTGATGTGATTGGAGGAGGTTAAAGGGGCACAGGGTCGCGGACATTGAGGGATTTGAGAACAAATATAGGAAGGTGGGTTACTGTTCTTCATGTTTCAGCTTTATGTTTACAGATTGTTCAGTGCCAGTGTTAACATTCATTCAGCAGAATAGAGAGAGAGAGACAAGGTTTTAAACGTGGTGCAAGGTCTTAAACGAGGGAATGTGTGTATGAAAGGAAGTGCGGAAAAGGTAAATGGAATTCTGCATTTGTAACTTACAAGGTTTGCAGTGGGAGATATTAGAAAACAAGATGTATTAGTTATGGGTCAAATCCATTCTGATAAAAAGCAAAGTGGCTGTACCAGTTTTAAGGAGTGTGTGACTCCAGGAAGGGTTCAGAACAAAATGTATTTGAAAAACAGGTCTGCTATATATACACGTTCAGGGAAAGTACAGGGGTAACATTGAATTAGAATGTAAAAGAGGCACTGAAGAGTTGAAAGTAGGATTATAATGATGAGGAAGCATCAGAAAGGATTGGTCAATGTAAAAAGAAAACAAAGTGGGGAATTCTACAGGTTATGAAGGAGATCACCTCGTATTTTGGGAGTGAAAGGTACTTGGAATCTCACAGCATTGCTGTCGGACAGAGGAGACCCACAGGGAGTTGAGGTTGTGTCCTGTAGAAACCTCGTGATTACTGGTTGTGGTCAAGGTGCAGAGAGTGAGCTGTATTTTTATGCCTGTGTGATTTACACAGCTCTGTTCACTGTCTGTACTCGTCACAGCTGAAAACCTGTGGCTTTGACAGCTGTTTTTCTGAATAACCCAATAACTGTTGATATTATTTGCCAGGAGTCTTGTCGACACAGTTTATGCGTTGAAAGATGAAGTTCAGGAGCTGAAACAGGTCAGATTCACAATAGAACACGACACACTTTTGGCTCTGCACTTTGAAAAGTGGCTGACAGAATTCAGAGACCCAGTATCATTGTGACAAACTGTTACCTTCTTGTTCTTCTCTAGGAAAATAAACGGATGAAACAAAGTCTGGAGGAGGAACAGAAATCTAGGAAAGAGTTGGAGAAAATGATCCGGAAGGTTCTGAAGCAGTTGAATGAATCTGCGTGGGATGAGGGTAACCACTAGAAGCAGCTAAGCCAGCAGCTAGTTCTCTACACAGCTTCAAGCAGTTGGCAGCCCTGACCGTACTGCTACAAGGAATTCGTTGAAATTCTCAGTCACACTGGGGTCATTTTTGTTTTTTTTTTTGGCCTGTGATTCCTCCAGAGGAGCAGGCAATTGAGGGACAGCAAACCTGACACCTGTTTTGGAAGGACTAGAGCAGGGCATAAGGAAACGTGCACGCTCTGGGGAGAGAGCACAGCAGCAGCAGTGAAAACTGAGAAATGGTACAGCCTCCCAGCACACAGCCACCTCGTGCTGTCTCAGAGCTATTCCCAACTTGGGCAAAGAAAGGTGCCTGCAAGTAACTACTTCATTATCAATAAATGGATGATTTTGTGTCCTCCAACCAGCACTATAGTATTTGACTGCTGCACCAGCACAGGATGCTCACTCGTGGGCACAGCTGAAAATCACAGACTCCTTTTTAAGTTTCCTTTGTTTTTGTATCGGGCCATGACCAAATCATAGCCTCCCTTGTACTGGACCTTAAGCCGCGTATTTGTATTTTCTGGGTATAACTATGGTTTTTTGAAATGGCCCAGTCTCTCTCGCTGATTTATTTATGTTTTGCTGTGTTAAACTACTCCCCCCACCCCGCCAGGCACTTGCCCCCATCCCCAACCCCAAACATTGTCACCGTGCAGAGTCCTTGTGGCGGACACAGCCTCGATTATGGCACTGCATCTAATGCATGTAAAACTTCTGCCTGTGCCTTTGACAGATACCCTTTCAGAGTACAGCGTGTGTACATATTCAGCTCACCTTTATAAACTGGCTCTAGCTTGAGCCTTCCTGTATATTACAGGATTGTGTTTAATAATGTATAAAAGGATACAGGCAGCTTATCTCCCCTGCTGTTGTGGAACAAAGCAGGTGTTACTAGTCAGCGTTGACTGAGTCTGTTAGTCATGAGATGTCCACAGTGACAGACTCTACAGTAGGAGTTAATGTCGCATGCACAAACTTAGTTTCTCATCAGTTAAGTGATGCCTAGGAATGAATGCAGGATAACAGGCGTCTGATTGTGGGCTGTGTGCACAGTGTAGCAGAGCACACGTTGGAGTATTTACAGCGTGACTGAAACCAGACTCAAAACCTGAACAAAATGGGAGCGGGATTTAGGAGGAAGTCACTTCAGATCAGACTGAGAGCCATTGGTCAGATCAGCTTCTCACCAACGATGAGCAGCGAGTGTGGCTCCTCACTACAAACATCCTGTAAGTCCCTCTTTACGTCCAACTGGCAAACGTCCCCAAATTTCCTCTGTAGACTTTTATTTTGGAATTCAGATGAAATATTTTGGGAACTGTCACAGCTGTGTTCTCCTGGAGGTGCCTGTATGTGTTTGGAAGCCCTTACGCCCAGCACACATCCATCAAGTAGGAAATCTTTTTGTAAATGCAATTTTTTTTAATAAAGCCTGAATATCGAGCCTTCCTTCGGCTGTATCTTGTAAATAAATAGCTCCTCTATTTTGGCAAGATCTCTCAACACTCCATGATTTATGAAATACTTCTGTTGACTGGAATTTTTTTTGCTGTTGGCTTCAATACAATTAAATTGATTTTCTGAATGGGTTGGGAGTGCTTACTGTTGGTATTGTATGTTTTAACAATTAGTATTGATCTATCAGCACAGAACTTTAATGTTGCTAACAAGAGGCATAAAGTTAAAGAAAAAGAGAAATTTGCTGGAGAAACTCAGCATCTGTGGAGCGAGAAACAGAGTTATTAATGTTTTAAATCCGATATGACTGTCCTTTGGAATTGAAAGAGGCTGGAAAATGGTGCTTTTTCAGCTGTACACCAAGGGGGAAGGAGATCAATTAGAATAGATTGTGAGGATGTCCAGAGCAAAAGACAGAGGGGGTACCAATGGCAGTAAAGGAGAGATCAAGATGTAAAATAGGTGCCAATGTTTATGTAAAGAGGAGAAAATGGCCTGTTTCCCCTGGGGGGCCTTGGACAGAGACGGGAGAGGGGCTGAATGGGGAGGAGCCATGAGGAGGGGGAGTTGATGAGATAACAAGGTGTAGAGCTGGATGAACACAGCAGGCCAAGCAGCATCAGAGGAGCAGGAAAGCTGACGTTTCGGGCCTAGACCCTTCATCAGAAATGGGGGAAGGGAAGGGGATTCTGAAATAAATAGGGAGAGAGGGGGAGGCGGATAGAAGATGGATAGAGGAGAAGATAGGTGGAGAGGAGACAGACAGGTCAAAGAGGCGGGGCTGGAGCCAGTAAAGGTGAGTGTAGGTGGGGAGTTAGGGAGGAGATAGGTCAGTCCAGGGAGGACGGACAGGTCAAGGGGGTGGGATGAGGTTAGTAGGTAGGAGATGGGGTTGGGGCTTGAGGTGGGAGGAAGGACAGGTTAGGGAGGCGGGGACGAGCTGGGCTGGTTTTGGGATGCGGTAGGGGGAGGGGAGATTTTGAAGCTTGTGAAGTCCACATTGATACCATTGGGCTGCAGGGTTCCCAAGCGGAATATGAGTTGCTGTTCCTGCAACCTTCGGGTAGCATTGTTGTGGCACTGCAGGAGGCCCAGGATGGACATGTCGTCTAAGGAGTGGGAGGGGGAGTTGAAATGGTTCGCGACTGGGAGGTGCAGTTATTTGTCACAAAGCGAGAGTAGGTGTTCCACAAAGCGGTCCCCAAGCCTCCACTTGGTTTCCCCG